GTCCTATTAAACTGTCTTTACCTCAGCTCACAAGTTTTACCTTTTTCCTGATACTCCCGCCCATGTCACTGTGAGGGAGAGAGAATGAACGGCTATGTGGTGTTTAGCTGCCTGGCAGGTGAAACCACAACACACTGCTAGAGCCCAGTGCTGCTGCCAGTGACTCGAATCAGGCCACACGTTTGAACAGCGGTTCTTAGACATTTATTGTTTAAAAAAAAAAAAGAGGCGGTCCAATACTTCTTGAAGAGATTTTTTTTTTTTTTTTTAATCTTGTTTCCTGAAGTTCCTATAAAATGTGCTCTTTTGGCAGTGTAGCAGTCTTGGCAAAGATAATAAAGGGAGTTGGTAATACCAGGGGGTTGTCTGTTTCTACAGCTGCTTTTATTTTGAAGGTAGGGTATTTTGCGTACTTGCTTTCTACATTATAGATCTAAATGTGATTTCTTTGTGTTTCAGGAACACTCCTCATCCATTAATCACTGTCCTTGAAAACAGACCTGATTGCTGGCCGGTTCTACTGCAGCAGATAACAGTATTTTTCCATCAGTGTCCAGAGAGGTAAATGGATGAATGATTTTAAAATGCCAGCTGTAGATAAGAGAATTATATCAGTGTAACTTTTTTCTTTAACTACAGTGAGCAGTAAGAATTCTGTCTTTTGAAATAAAAACTATAAAACTGAATTACGACATTTAAAGGTTAGAAATAGAATATTAATAAACCACTAAATATTCCATCAAAAATTAATTTTGTTTTTTTTTTCTTACCTCTTATATTCATGTAACTTTTATGGATGTGGAAAAACTGGAATTTGGAGTTTTTCTAAACAAACAATTTGATTTGCGTTGCCTAGATTTTGACTGCTTAGTCAAAAAAAAGATGACTAGTATGTAGGTATAACTGATTTATACTAAATAGTGACATGGTAAAGTGAAAGCACAGGTGATTGTATCTCACAGTGGAGGATGAGGTCTTTAAAAATTATGTATGCTTCTTGATTTAAAAAAAAGAAGAAGAAAAAATTAGTGGTACAGCCTTATTATAAATCATCTTTAACAGTGAACAAATATCCAAGCTACCAACCGTTTCAACATTTCTTCGTGCTTACCTCCAAGGAACTTGTCCAGTAAAGCTTCAGTGTAAAATACCAAATGCTGTAGCAGTCTCAAGCCAAATGTTTTCAGTGATTTTACACTTATAAGTATGCTTTTCAGATTAAAAAGATCTTCTCCTTTCTGGAAGACTCATACAAATTCAATGGAGTAGTAGTACAGTGAAATTAACTTCTGTGTTCTGTTGGTCTGAGTAAACAAATACACTATTGATCTCTGAAATTTCTCGTGGGCCTGGACTACATGATCAACACTAAGACTTTCAAGTGAAAGTGTACTTTGTTAATTTAATTGAACAGAGTGTTTAAAAAATATTCTTCCACTCAGCTGCTAAACCTGGGACTTGTGGAGAGTCCTGTTGGATGTCTCAATGCCTGAACAAACTGGATTTTTTGCTGGTGGCTTCTTTTGTGTTAAGACAGGAGTTGTTCTTGCTGAAAAGGAAAATATCTTAAACTTCTTTTGCTGCTTTTTCTGCAAAGGTTTCTGTGGAATAAAGTTCTAGACGGAGAATATATAATCATTGAGATTGGAGATCGAGTCTAAGCATTAATTTAACACGACCAATTCCACCACTAAACCACATCCCTGAATATGATGTCAACAGGCCCCACATGTATTGATGTAGATCTATTACTGAGTTTTTTGCAAAGCTCTGCATCAGGGCCAAGTCTTGTTTAAAACTGACTTCTGATTTTGATTTGCTCTATATTTGTAAGTACTGATCATTTATTTTATTCGATTGTTTTAATAATGTCAGGAACAGCTGGTATTACTAACACAATTGAGCCAAAAGATTTTTTCTGTATTATTTTTTTTTTACTGGGAAGCCATCTTGGTTAAAGTAGTTCCTGTTTCATGTAGTTGAACAGTTTCATGTAATTGTTCAAGGCTGTTGACAAAAACTGACAAGGGATGGATGGCTCTCCTAAACATAAACTAGGTTTTATGTGTTTTAAAAAGGTATTTCTGAATAGTTGTTGAAGTGCAACTTCAGCGTGTCACACTAGTCTCTCATGACATTCAGCAAGGAAAGTCACTTGAATTGATGAGGGGAAAAGAGTATCGTAGTCTGCATAAGTACGTATTGAGTAGTATTCATGCTTGAATATTGAGGCTTCTCATAGTTGCACTTCTTTGTGTCATTGCTATATAAGGTCTCGTGACAGTACTTCATGCTAATATGTTGAAGGTTTTTTGGTGAGATTTGGTAACGCCTTTCGTAACACCTTTCTGTTAATTGCATCCTGCAAATTATTGCTGGGAATGTCACATTGCTTGGCTTTTCTTTGTTGTTTGCAGAGTTTTCAGTAGAATTATTTCTTGAACTGCAGGGCACAGAGTTCCTGTGTTGGCATAATGACTCCATTTCTAAGATACCTGTATTGCGAACCTTCTCAGTCACGGGAATATGCTGAACTGCGAATGGGTTTACTTAAGGTTTTACTGCAGCCTCATGCTGCGGTGCACAGAGAAACACCCTCTCTGCTGGAATGCCAGATTCTTCAACTTCTGTTTGATTTGATTCCACACCTTCAGGTACAGTTGTTGCCTGACTCCACCTTTTACAAATAAATGCTAGCAAAGCAAGGATTATGTCATTGTTATTGCCATTTAAGTGTGCAAATACAGTATTCTCTTCCATTTCCTGTAGACCTGATTTCTTAGTAGTACAGAAATATAACAAACTGGCTCTTTCTGGTAGAAGGTAAACATTTTTAATTGTTCAAACCTGCTACACCTGCTAAGGTGTAAATTGAAACATGTTTACTGTAACTATTTGCCACTAATTGCCTCAATAAACATACAGTAAACTTGTAGAGATACCCACAAGAGGGAGAATATTGTTAAATGGTATTATATTTGTCAAAAACATGCAGCTTTTCACCTTAACGTGGGTAATACTAAAATGAAGCGCAAACTGCACGAGAAGTTCTTGATACTCCTTGCTCACTCTTTTTAGCAGAGGGATTAGTGGATCTAAACACAAAACTTAATCCCACTGGAGTATGCCAAAGTTTTTGCATATGTTTTTAAGCTGCACAATGATACTTGCTAGGAGGTGGGGATATAATCTTTCTGCCCCCTTTAGTTAGGGGTCTAGGATGCTGGTTAAGGTTAATAGCTTTGCTTTTCCTCATGGTTTATTGTGTCATTGGTTAAGCTTTTTTGTACCTATGCACCTTTTCCTTCCTCTTTAACATTAGAGGAACATCTTCCATTTCAGGTATATTCAGTGAAGCTTGAGGTGCAGTGGTGGCATTGCCATAGGGAGAAGGTTTGATAATATCAATAATGTAAAGCTAAATGGGCTTGATATGAGAATGTTCGTTAGCATGTTCCTCCTGAGGAATTTTACTAGTAAAGCCTACTTTCTACTGGTGGCTACTTTTCAGTCTTTTGGACTAATAACTTCTATAATACACACTTATCTTGGCTCAGGTCTACTCTCTGTGATGACAGCTACATGCCAACTTTTTCTAGTCACAGGGACATTTCTGATTAGTCTTCATTCTCTCTGAACTGTCATGTAACACTGTGTCCTGAGTGTATGACGAAGCATCTGACTTGGTTATGTTTATCCATAAAAATGTCACTGAGGAAGACTTACAAAATTAGTTATAGACCTTTTCCTCCATGCCTGTTGGCACTTTTTTAACTAGAAATCTGGTGCATTTTTTTAAACTCAGATTAATACTTGAACATGCTTTGTCTTGCCTGAGATACAACTTCCATAATGGAAAGAGAAAATAATTCCTTCAAAAAGCCAGTTTGATGGGACTGTTTTCTGTCGTTCCTTCTTCTTTCTCTGAACCTCAGAGAACCTCTTATCCTTCCTTTAAGATCAGCCTTATTTAATCCTCTGTGTTGTGTAAGTGCCAAAATGCTTCCTAGTCATTTTGTCTGGCAATATCAACCAGGCTGTGAGAAGTACAGCTCATCACCATTTTTCTGCTGAAAAATTCAGTGGACATGAGGCTTCTGATTAGAGCAGATTATTCATACAGTTTGTTCCAAGGGACTAAAAGTCACAATATTATCCTTCATGCTGGCTCCAGAGTTTGTATCAGAACACCTGGGTTTGTCAGAATCTAGAATTTTCGGGGGCGGGAATATTCTCATCTGACACACTAGGATTTTGAGGCAACCTGCTTCTTGAAACCTGTTTACTTGGCTTCCAGGCATAGAGGTACTGCTTTTGTGTGTTGTACTTCCCAGTTTCATTTGTGTAGTAGGTAGATTACGTGGTGCTCTAGAAGCAGATAACACCACTGCCTTTCTCTTTTGAGACATATGGTAAAAACTCGGTTATATCAGAGGAAGTATCCTAGAGCAGGATATTTCTGTTACAGGAATATTTATCTGCTACTTGGAATCCCCACACAGTTTTATTTATGTTGCTGAGAGAACCTAGAGATCTGAATAAATTTGCTATTGCTTTTGAGGAAAAAGTGATTTTTCTCATCAGCTATCAAGAAATCTTTTTATTATTTCTATGTTTCTTTTTTACTTCAGAACATTAAATAGAAGTCCATCTATTGATTTGGGTTTTTTTTTTTTCAGTGAACTTAGGTAAAAGATTCCTGGGTTTAGTTTATAAATGCGTTTCTTCGAAGTCTTAGTGATATTTAGAGTGGAAATATTGCTGAGCTAATAGAACTAATTTTAAACTTGGGGAATTTTGCATAGATAGAGAAGGGGAACTAAACCAGAATGTGTTTTTGTTTGTTTTTTTTTTTCAATATCACGCTACAGCTTAAAGATTTACAGCAAGTTACAGAAGCCTTGTTTTTTCTGCAAGAGCTATTCCTCAGAATGCTGCGCTATCCTGTGTTTTGGAAAGTTCAGTTATCCCAGTTTTGTCTGCATCTGTTATGCTTCTGTGAAGTGTGTTTAAATGTAACGGGAGAATGCTCGCCTTTGATCTTCTTAATGGAGGACAACTTTGAACTCTTAAAAGAGGTAAGGGTTCATGGGGAGTAAAATAAAATAGTTGTACTAAAGAATGTCATGTTTAAGACAGTATTTAGAGAAATTGATACATGGTGTTCATCTGCAAGTGAGTATTGTTGATTCAGAAGCTTCTAATTTTTTCTTCTTGGTTGAAGACATTCAGAAGCCAAAACCTTAGCTAGTTCTGCATGCATCAGTTAACCTTTTAGTATGGAGTTAATTTAAACTGAAGTGGTTTGGAAAAAGTAACAAATTAAAATGTTGTACTTACTTACTCAGTTAAAATCCTGTTTTTACACTGTTTGTATTCCTCATTATATGTGCTGTGTCGCTGTGTGTGCATGCACTGTGATTCATGAAGAAACTCCTTACAAAGTTTTGGTTGTTGCCCATTTGTACTGTTTAATGCCACTGAAAAACTAAGACGACTATAACCTCTTTCTTCCCTTGTAGGTGTTTCCAGTGGAACAGTGTGCAGTTGGGCTGGCGCTTCTATTGCTGCAAACACCTGAAAGTCAGCAAAAGTCTCTCTTGAGTCTAGGTAAAGTTCTTTTTGTCAATCATGCTCTTAAGACTGTCTTTGCTTCTTTGTTTTTATGAAAATAAGTACTGCGTTGTCCTGAAGTTGGATTGGATGGTGAAATGTTTTCTTAATAAGCAGGATTTTTCCTGAATTTAAAAAATAACACTTGAGCTAATAGCAATAAAGATAAATTTTCTACTACACTGACTTTTTCCATGAATATTACTTTATGGTGTTGGATTACTCCATGGAAAGTCTACTGTATTCTACTGTATTACTCCTTGCTATTTTTGAGCTTATCTGTTTCATTTTGGAGTCAACAACAAGATATTCCCAGCTGAGATTCACACATCCTGAGTAGTTTCTTTTGACAGATCTTAAGTGAGCAAGCCTGACAGTCATGGCAATGTTGGGCTGAGCTTTTGACTTAGCAGTTTTGATTACTGGAGCCATTCCAGTAAATGTGAATGACTGTGCTACATTCCATTATTGTATTTCTTGCTGCATCAGGTGCTTAGCTATGAACAAGGGAAATGTGTTGGTCTCTAAACAGAATTGGAGTTTTACTAAAAATCTTGTGCTCTTTAACTCCAGTATGCACATACTGTATTTCTGGGGACGCTAACTTGGCTTCACCAGAGTTTGTGTCATGCCTAATATAAATTATGTTAATTCTTATTTCCCTATGTGATCTTTGTCTTTACCCACCTTGTCTTCAATAGCCTGCAAGCTCCTTTCCTGCTCAGAAACGCAGAACATCTCAAGCACAGCCCTTACTTTGGTGATGCCTGTGCTACAGATCTTATCTTCTACAACAGTTGGGGACTGCCTACCAGAGGATGATTCTGGAACTACTAGGCATCAGCTGGCTCTAAATCTTTTGGGAATATTACAGGAGGAAGGTGTGAAGGATAAAAAGGAGTTGGTAAAGTTACAGGTTTTTTTCTTTCTTTTGAGGCAGGAGGGGGTGCATTTGATAATTTGGCTGCATTATGCTGAGCTGGTTGGGAAAGGCTCTACCTGTGTGAGCTTCTCTGTGTAATACATTGTATGGAAACACTCAAAAATATGTATACTCCATAAAACTAGAATACTGGTAAAGTGGAAGTGTGTTTGTATGCTAGGTACTGTTTTACTTGAGATGGGATTCACCTGCATTATTAAGCAAGTAACAGGACTTAGTAGAAAACAAGGTTATGTACAGTTCCTTTGTCTCTTTCGGACTTGTTTATTGTACTCATATATATCATTTTCCCTGCCATCGTATGTGACTGTTACTACATTCGTTCTCCTTTGGCTTAAGAGAGTTATGGAGCATGTAAGTGTCACTTGCAAATTTCAGCTTACTATTCTGCACCTTTTGATCTGTGCTGTTGAGGTTTTATTTATTTACTTATTTATATCCCACTTAGGTGCTCCACCCCTTTGAATAAGTGACAGCAATTCTCTTTGATCAAGTTGTGCTTAGCCCTGTGGAAGCTAAGCTCCCTTTCTGCTTCACACCTGTTATGTGGTTTAGGGAGGGTGGTGATGTGATGAATTAAAGAGTGAAAAAGATGCCAATTCTGAGTTCTACCACTTGTCCTGGAATCCCAAATACATCTTCCATTTTCACAAATCTGAAAAGGCAAGCC